TTTTTTTTTTTTTTTTTTTTTTTTTTTTTTTTTTTGTATAAAACGCTATTATTACCAGATAATGAAAAGGCTGAACATTACCCTTTTCTTTCTGAATGACTAGCTATGCTTTTGTAAAATTGCTTCAAATGATTTTCAGACTCTTGTGCAAACGACCTAGGTTTGGATGACACTTTTTATGGACTTCAGTCTGTCTTATTCAACAACAAACCACTTTCAAGAATCACAGCTATTTCAGCTTCTTACAGTAATAATTTGTGCTTCCAAACTTAGAGTTTATAGACCTGTTCAAACACCAGGGAATTTTTCTGCCAGGACAGTACAATTCACTTTGTATTTATTGCCCTGAAATCGCACTGACCTTTTTTGGAGCTGATAATGTATTTATTTACACTGAATTTCAAGTGTTTGATTTGCTTTACTTGGACTGTTTACATAAATTAGCCAAGGGAACTGCATTCTTAGTATCAGTTCTGAGGAATAATCTGTTTCATTTGGTTCCTATCTCTGTGCTAAGGCAGATGGTTTTCATGTCAACAGGAATGTCGTTTCAATCTATGAATTACAAAAAAAAAAAAATTTAAATGAAAAAATTAAGTAAAATTATACGCAGAGTTTCAGGAAAGTTCCTGATAACGTTTTCTTGCTCACTCTAGAAAATAACTGCAATTTTCTTTTGCGGTTTTCTTAAAGGTTACTAAAATTGTTTGTACTTTTGCTTTACACTTTTTTGATGGTTGTATTCAATCTCAGGAACGCTTCAGGCCTTTGTCAGGCAGCATCAGGAGCAGCTGCTGGGCGAGGGCAGGCGAGCCGGGAGCTGAGGGCAGTGCTCTCCCCAGCACCGCGCAGTCCCACAGCGCCCACCCAGCACGCAGAGTGGGGACAGAGACGGTGACTGGGGCCTGCCACAGCCAAGGGATGGCCGGAGCAGCCCATGGTGTTGGGCAGATCCGAAGTGATTCCGGAAGGCGAGTCAGCAAAATTAGGAGCAGCGAGGTGTGGTGCTGTGCACAGGCTCAGCAACCGCTTTGCTCAGACAGGGCCCAGGACCGTGGTCCTGAGCTGAAATGCTGCTCCTGAGCTGAGGGTCTAGGCACCCAACACAGCATCTCGCGGCTGTCTTCCAGCAGCCTTGACCCCAAGTTATGGCTGTACCATGTCAGAGCTGGCCTTGAGGGTAGGTGGCCAAACCCTTAGCGAAGAGAGAAGGAAGGACCTATTGCTGTGCTGAGAGCACTGAAAACATTTTTGTTATTGCACTGTAATTACACTTTTCTTCATGATTTACTTACAGTAATAGAATTAATACGAAGAAATTGGAAACATTCAATTTTTGATACCTGAAATGTTTCAAGTATAATTTCTTCTAATTGAAACAGTTTTAAGATTATTTTTTTAAATAGCAAAATTTAGGATGATTTATTTTAAATACTTAGATTTAGGATGATTTAAAGTATTATGTACTAGAAATAATTTTTAATGTAACTGCCAGCAAATTTCCATTTGAACGTTCATCTGCAGCAACTGAACTTTTCAGCCATATACCCAGTGCATATATTTTAATTTCCTTCCTGTCTCATCCTCTCTCAGTGGTAATCAGTTATTTAGAAATTTAACTTCCATCTGTCATGGGGGGAAACTTTAAAAAAAAAATTATAAATTACATACTCACATTTTCAAAGCTTTTGAGAAGGACAATTCCACTGCCATTAGCCAGAGCTGTGTTTCTAACTCCCTGATGTGCCTTTAAATATCTCATTCACTATATTAAAAAAATCCCTCATCAAATTGTTGACATTTTCTATTTGCTTTTACTCATCCACATCATCTCTTGACTAGAGCCTGTCTTATGAGACATAAAACTTTTACTTATTGACTTTAAAGAATATGCTTTACACATGCATTACAAATTATGATAGCCACGGAAAAAGTAAACTAATTTCAAATTGGCTTATAGACCAAAATTAATGGAAAGCTATAAACATATTTCTGCAGATAAAAAAGGAGGTAGATCAGGGCAGGGAAACAACAGAGTGTGACCAAATGTCAAACAAGACAAGGTACTACATTGATATCCATGTAAAAACAAGGGGAATTAGCTAGGAAGATGCCTTGCAGAGGGTTCTAGATAGATTGGAGCACTGGGCAATGATTAATGGAATGAAATTTAACAAGTTGAAATGCCAGATTCTGCACCTAGGACAGAGTAACACCAGGCACAAGTACAAACGGAGAGGAGTGTCTGGAGAGCAGCCCTACAGAAAGGGATCTGGGTGCTGGTCGACAGCAGGGTCAGTATGAGTCAGCAGAGTGCTCTGGCAGCCAAGAGGGCAAACCACGTCCTGGGGTGCATCAGCCATGGTATACCCAGACAGTCAGAAGAGGTGATTATCCTGCTGTATTCAGCACTGGTGCAGCCTCACCCTCAGTACTGTGTGCAGTTCTGGGCCCCACAACTTCAGAAGGACGTGAAGGTCCTTGGATGTGTCCAGAGAAGGGCAACAAAGCTGGTGAAAGGGCTGGAAGGCCTGTCCTGTGGGCTTGTCTAGTCTGGAGAAAAGGAGGCTGAGGGGCGACCTCATCCTCTCTACAGCTTCCTGAGGAGGGGAAGTGGAGAGGGAGGTGCTGATCTCTTCTCCTTGGTATCAAGTGATAGGATGTGTGGCAATGGTTCAAAGCTGCACCAAGGGAGGATTAAACTGGACGTTAGGAAGCATTTCTTTACCAAGAGGGTGGTCAAACACTGGAACAGAGTTCCTAGGGAGGTGGTCGATGTCCCAGGCCTGTCAGTGTTTTAAGAGGCATTCGGGCAATGCCCTTAATAACATGCTTTAGCTTGGCCAGCCCTGAACTGGTCAGGTAGTTGGACTAGATGATCCTTGTAGGTCCCTTGCAACTGAAATTATTCTATTCTATTCTATTCTATTCTATTCTATTCTATTCTATTCTATTCTATTCTATTCTATTCTATTCTATTCTATTCTATTCCTGTCTATTCTATTCTATTCTATTCTATTCTATTCTATTCTATTCTATTCTATTCTATTCTATTCTATTCTATTCTATTCTATTCTATTCTATTCTATTCTATTCTATTCTATTCTATTCTATTCTATTCTATTCTATTCTATTCTATTCTATTCTATTCTATTCTATTCTATTCTATTCTATTCTATTCTATTCTATTCTATTCTATTCTATTCTATTCTATTCTATTCTATTCTATTCTATTCTATTCTATTCTATTCTATTCTATTCTATTCTATTCTATTCTATTCTATTCTATTCTATTCTATTCTATTCTATTCTATTCTATTCTATTCTATTCTATTCTATTCTATTCTATTCTATTCTATTCTATTCTATTCTATTCTATTCTATTCTATTCTATTCTATTCTATTCTATTCTATTCTATTCTATTCTATTCTATTCTATTCTATTCTATTCTATGCCATGCCATGCCATGCCATGCCATGCCATGCCATGCCATGCCATGCCATGCCATGCCATGCCATGCCATGCCATGCCATGCCATGCCATGCCATGCCATCCCATCCCATCCCATGCCATCCCATCCCATCCCATCCCATCCCATCCCATTCCCTGTCACAACTAGCTGGGAACAAGAGAGTATATGGAAAGCTAAGTAATGATCCAGGGGGTATAACGTTCTGTACCCTTGCTCAGCCTGGCCCTGGCATGCATACAACAGCTCCAGTAGAAAAACTGGAAGAAGCAGTGTCAA